AACCGTTACAATCAAATAAAATAACCCGATAAATTTAATGTTCAATTTTTGAATAAAATTTAACAAATTATCATCTATCTAAAGAAATTAAATCATAACGAAATTAAAACAAATGAAAAGATTAAAACTTATTTTGAGAATTTTAAATACATATTTACACTCTTTTTGGTATACTTTAAAATCACGAAATTATTTAAGAAAAATGCACTAAATTACACGGGGGAAAAAAGTCCCTCTCTTGTTATGATCTCTCAAACCAAACCCACCTACTTCTCTCTTAAATACATCCCATTTCTACCAATTTCACGACCGTACTGTACTTTCCTATAACACCAACAAGAACAAACTTTTTTTTGTTCTCATTTCCCTCTCATCTTCCTCTAAAAATGCGTATGAGCTGTAACGGATGTCGAGTTCTTCGAAAAGGCTGCAGTGAAAACTGTAGCATAAGGCCTTGTCTTCAATGGATCAAATCCCCCGAATCTCAGGCCAACGCCACCGTCTTCCTCGCCAAATTCTACGGCCGTGCCGGTCTCATGAACCTCCTCAACGCCGGTCCCGACCACCTCCGTCCTGGTACTTGTCTCTGTTTTGCTCTTATCTATCATGCATCTGAATCTGATGATATATAATGGGTTTTGTTTGTTTGCAGCGATATTTAGGTCACTGTTATACGAAGCATGTGGGAGGATCGTGAATCCGATTTGTGGATCCGTCGGGTTACTATGGTCCGGGAATTGGCATCTTTGTCAAGCAGCCGTTGAGGCGGTCATGAGAGGCTCTCCGGTCACTCCGATCACCTACGACGCGGCGGTTAATGGTCAAGCGTCTCCTTTTAACACCAACAAGCTCTTCGACATAAGACACGTGTCGTCCAACGTGAAGAGCCGTGGTGCATGCAAGGAAGATAGAAACGTGAGGTCGTCGCTGAGTCACGAGTCGTCACTGAGTCACGAGTCTTCGGTGGTGAAGGACGAGCGGAGCATGGTGTCGTCGGAGGAGACGACGACGGAGGAACCAGCTTGGATCGGGCTGGAGCTGACTTTGGGGTTGGAGCCAACCCTCGCACGTGGGAGTCACGTGGTGGTTCCGATGAAAAAACGGAAGTTGGAGGATAGGTGTGGCACGTGCGAGGATGATGACACGTGTAAGATTGAGCTAGGACTCGTGTGCAGCGAGTAAAATCATCAATGGTGTTTTTTCGTGTGGCTGGTCTTACAAGTTTTGGTTTTCGAGTTTTAGGTGTACAAATAGAGATTAACGAATTAATCTCTTTTTTCTCGAGTTTTTTTGTTTTGCATGTTCTTTTCTTCGGTGTTGCGTATGATAAAGAGGTCTTAACTTAACAAATCTGCTTTCTTCAGAGATCTTTTTTGTTGTCCTTAACGAATCTTGACAAATCTCTGATGTTTAGTTAAAGAAAATCTAAGCAAGTTTAAATACAGATGCATTAATTAAGACTCAAAAATTTCTAAGTTGCGTAATGGCAAAATCTCCGAATGTGATTTAGCCCATTTATTATAGATAACGTATACAGTATATGTTATGATCCCATTAAAGCCTAAAGAGCCTTTTTGTATGTGAACCAAACGACTCAGCAGCTACATGTGTGTCATGTGTGTTTAAATTCTTGTTCTCAAAGGATATATACATGTATAAGATCTCTATCTAGCTAGGGAAGAAGATTAATTCTTTTAGTTTATTGGGTCGAAATGTATATTCAACCGAGAACATGGCCCCCAACTCTTTTGGACATAATTATCTTTTCCATTTGTCGATCTATCTTCCCGTTACGCTCGCATTCGCATAAGGAACACAAAGAAATGAGTTTATTTTTTTGCTAAAAAGAAATGAGTTTATGACAAATAATTGGGTTGATTTCATATTTTCTCCCTCATAAATATGCAAGTACAGATCGTTATCTCCTACATTTTTTTTTTATCTCTTTTTCATTATACAATGTTATTTAATTTATAAAATACCAAAAATTCGTCTTTTTAAAATTATTCACACAAAATTGATTTCATTAATTCTGTTAATCAAAAATGTAATTGCATTTAATTAAATCGTAGCTGTGCTTAAAAAATCACATTTAGTTTGATCCCAATTAATAATAGAGTAACCGACTAAACTGGGTTAATCCCAAAACTAATTCTCTTTCATCCAGTCATAAAAAGAATCGATTTAGAAAAAAATTATCGAGAATAAGGGTTCATCCTCAGCCATGTTTATTTCCAAACGAAGCTAGAAGAGAGCAACCCGATTAAACTGCCAGAGTCAAAGTCAAAGGCGTAGCACAGTCGATTAACGGTAAATATGAATAATGATTCTTCAGATTCTAGCTTAGTGGCTGTGAAACCATCATGTCAATGTATTTTGACGTGT